CTCTCTCTCTCTCTCTGTGCCCCCCCTCCACCTCCCCACCCTCCCGGAATGCCTCAGGTAGAGCGGGCAAAGTGTCAATCAAAGTGATAATCAGCTCAAGCTCACAAGTTCTTTATTACCATAAGACTCCCTTATGACCTTTGGTGGTAGAAAGAAGCTGGGCGACTCAGGTCTTGCAGTTCAACTGGAACCACCACACGTGCTGGTAGGCGGTGGCTGGGTGATTGAGGCCTTATGATTCAACTTCAAGCAGTTTGGGACGTAGGTTATGGATCTAACACCTGAGGATTGTCGTTACAACTTTGGCGTTGTAGGTGGGCCTTGACGGAATGTCCGAGTGACTATGGATCTGGTTCCCATTCGACAGCGTTGACGTTTGAAACGTGTTTTTTCAAACTTTTTTGGCTAACGAGGATGCACGGGCGTATTCTGTGTGGCCACCCTTTGCTCTTCTGTGTCTGTTTTCAGGGTCAAATGCATGATGCATCGGAGCTTCTCCTTTTCCTATTTGAGTGTCTTCACAACGCTTTCACTCTCTATATCGTACCAGAACAAGGAGTGGACTTGTTGGATGGCTTTGATTCTGGCAGGAGTACGGGCTTCAACGATTGGGAATGCAAGGTGGTTGATGATGAGGCTAACAAGGAAAGGTGTCTGGTTCATTCCCTTTTCGGTATGGACGTCTTGGAAAGGATGCACTGCTCATCATGCAGGTTACGGTCACGGCAGCTGAAGTACACAACCTTTTCACATAATGTTAATGCAAAGCAATTGCGGACAGCAAAGGTATGTTCCGACATCCAACTGCATGAATAGGATGCAAAAGGCCCTAGCTTTGTCTAGAGGGCTAATAAGTAGTAATAACTCTTTTCTGTCAGGATTTCTCAAAACGCTTCTATGACCATGTACACTGATATTTTCTCAGTTCCAACCTCCAACTCGATCAGCAGCAGAATTTATTGTTGGATATTATGTGCATTGTTCTTATCAGGGTTGCATACCTGCCGACCACCTACCCTGACCACCAACCGTCCTGCAGCCGGTAGGGCTGACCGGTCGGCGGTCTGCCGACCAGCCAGTAAACAGTCATCCACTGATTTTGTTTCAAATCTGAGTTGGGGCCTGTACTGCGCTTGCTGAGTACAGCCCAAATCCGCTGAGAAACTTCTGGGGATTTGGGGGGGTATAGCGGGGTTATGGAGGGGTATAGGGTGCTAAAGGGTGTATTGGGGGGGTATGAGGTGGTTGGGGGGCGGTTTGAGGGTGTTGGGGTGGCGGGTGTATGAGGATGTCAATGGGGTTATTGGGGGTTATGAACTGAAAAATATATATACCCGAACGCTGAGGGACTGGAACATGATTGGCTTGGAATGCATTTAATCCCACATGGCGCAGACCCCACGAGGGATTCGCAAATGGCTGACCAGGATCATATGGATGAACCGCATACTTGTGCACCACCCTGCGCAGACCCCACGGGTGATCTACAAATGACTGACCAACCAAACCAGCCTGAGATCCCCGCCAATCTGTGGTCTGACTGCAACTGATAGCTGCCTTCACATTTTCAATCGGCCGTTGTATACACCATCAGATTTCCTTGCAATTGCCCTACAGCTTGATGTTGATCTCGCTAATCTCGCTGATACACCAGGGAGGGAGGTTTTACCATCGCTGTCCTAGAAATCGCGATGAGGAACCGCCAGCTTGAACTACACCATGCTCTACCAGGTGAGTTGTTTAATCCTCCATCCCACATCTCTGCCTGCATTGTGCACGGGCCTGGCCATTACATGGCTATTGTACACGCCTCTGACCATTGGGAGGTGTGGAATGACGGTGTCATGGTGCATGCCATGATTGATATTACTGATTTCTTACTCTATGATGCTGTTCTCTTGCCACATCAAACTGTCCGCAATCTCCTTTATGTTGAAGATCATTCCTCTGCCACCGCAGTGCAGCAGTACAATGTACA